GATCACCTATGGAACTGCAAGGAGCTTCCCTCAGCTAACAGCTAGAGGTTGCTTTCTGGGTGGCTTTTTCCTAACACAAAACGTAGCCCAGGATTTCAGAGAGCTTTTGGGGCACTTGGGCCAAATTTGAAATGAATCTAGATATTACTATTTTGTTTTATTTGGAAAACTTCTGTGGACTGTAGGTGCTGCATGTTTCCAATCTGCCTCTGATATTTGCTTTGAATCTTTGGGCCTGTTGGAATCCAAAGCCAGGAAGGTTCACGCAAAGTGTTGTGACCCAAAACTGTTTAATCTCAGATCTGCGGTCTCGGAGCCGCAGCCTGACTTGGATACCTGATGAGTATCAGCTGAGCAAGCATCTCAGAATCTGACTTCTGCCCATGAACCATAAACCTTCTCCCCAGGGAACAAGAAAGTAAATTGGCCTTTGTGCAAGAGCAGCCAGCTAGACCGGGGCCGTGGTTTCCTCGTGCTCAATACCAGACCCCACGGTGCTGTGCTGCAAAGTTCTCCTTCCTTCTAAGTGAAGCCATATGAAAAAAAAAAAAAAAATCAACTTTTCTAAGAGTGGCTGAACCAACCAATTTGTTTAAGCTATTCTTCTGGTCGATTCATTCTTAACTGAAAAAACACTGATTATGTTGAAAGCAACTTGAAAAATGCCAAAAGGGAAGAAGGGGAAACAAGTTAAACCATTCCAAGGTCACAAAAAAAAAAAAACAAAACAAAATTAAATGCAACCAGGAGTGGTGTAAACAATGGTGTAAAACTTGATAGCGTGTTAGAGCACAGTATGTTAGATATGAGCTCCTCTAGAAAATAAGGTCCTAAAAGTAACCTTAACATTTATCATTGAGAGGCCACAACATGATCAGCTCACTGTGTCGTGCTTGCAAGGGGGAAAAAAAACCTCTGATTTAAGGATCCAGTAAGATAGATCTTCATTTCACTTGGTCAAGGTTTATACTTGAATACTGTTTCTAGCTACTTTGGATCAACATATCCAAAAATTAAGTGCCCAAGCAGCACATGGCTCGAAGGAAGAGATGTGTCCAGTCATGGTACATGTCTGTGTGTAGGTTCTCAGTGGAAAAGTGTGATGTGTAGGAGAAACGTAAAAGGAAAAGCACAAGCTGGTGCCACAAGTTCTTGGGTAAAATGTGCTTTACTGGCATAGCATTTAAAAAGCAGTGTCTGTATTCAGTGAGGTTTTTCTGGGCTGTGGTACCAGGTTCTTTCTTAGCAGCGTTGTAAACTGTCCTCAAGGAACATTGGTTTGCCTTGTGCCCAGCAGGAATTTGCCCAGGCCACAATTTGCCCATGCAGCTGAAGGGCTGGGAGGCAGCAATGCAGCCTCTTAACCACGGGAACATGGGTTAAGGACCAGACTTCCTTTAATTACAAGGGGTAAAAAGACAATAAGCACATGTACCATAGACCTGCTTTCCCGGTGTTGATGGATTACAGTGCTCATCAAGCAGCCCAATCTGTAGTTACCCAATTTGCAGTGGGTAAATTAGTTCAAACAAAGGTTATTTACTGCACTGTGGACAATTACATGGGCTTGGCTTTTGTCAATATTTTGTGTGAGCTATAAAGTGATGTTGATTTTTAATATTTCATTTACTTGCCCACGGTAGATGACATAAGTGGCTGCTACCCAGCAATTGTGAGTCTGTTTGTGAACTTTCTACCTTGTTTCTGAGAAGCTATTATTTAGATGCATCCATCATCTCTTCCTCATAATATTTTCAAATAGCAACATATTTCATTGTCTTTCTTTGGGTTTGGGTTACTAAATCTATCATCTTACTGGAGATCTTATGGTGTTGTCAGAAATTGCATATTATGCCCTAGATTAAGATTGTTTAGCTTGAACGTGACAAGTTGTTTAAAAATAGACTGTGTTATGCTTTGTATTCATTCTGCTCTCCAAAACTGCCTTTCATAACAATGTAAATAAAGGACTCCCAGAACTGATACAGTGGAGCTGGCACAGTTTGGAGAAAAGACTCGGCTATTGCCAAATTGACTTTAATGCAACATAAATCTTAATTATGTTGAACAAGCATCAGGCTGCAAGGTCTTGGGAGATGGAGTCATTAGGTAACAGTTTACAGTGAACATTTAGCTTCAAACAAATTCTCAGGCCTCCTTAATTTGCTTTGTAGTCTCTTAAAGGGGTTGGAAACAAGAGGTTTAATATGGATTCACTTTATGCCCAACTCATTTAACAGTATCCAAAGCTGAGCGCCCAGAATAGGCTAGAAATTGCTAAAATAATAATTCCCAATCGTGCAGACAGTTGACTTACAAGGTTGCAGATGGCATTAATGACTCCTGGAGCTGGGAGCTTTATGTCCTGCTTGCCCACATCTGCATCACAGGGCTGAGACTTGCAACTCTTGCCCAAAGTAGATACTGGGTATGATATTCTTTCTTTTAATCCCCACTAAGATTTCTCTCCTCAGACATGTTTCCTAATCCAGCTACTAAATGGTAGCAGGTTTCTAGATTTGATTTCTAAAACACATCTCCTTTTTTTTTTCTCTCTCTCTTTTACCAAATTGCTTTCAGGTAAAAACAACAAGTAAAACAGATGAGAATGGATTTTTAGTTTTTCCTCTCTCAGCTTTAGTTCTCTCACACTTGCCACAAGCAATATCTCTGAAATATATTTTTAATTCAATGTGCTGCACCCATTTTACAGATTTTCTTAAGGACTTGTATGGAAAGGTTACAAGATCGTAGAATGGGTTGGATTGGAGGGACCTTTAAAGATTATCTAGCCCAATCCCCCTGCAATGAGCAGGGACATCTTCAACCAGATCAGATTGCTCAAAGCCCCATCCAGTCTGACCTTGAATATTTCCAGGGATGGGGTACCTACCACCTCTCTGGACAACCTGTGACTCTGTAGGCAAGAGTCAATTTTTCTCTTGTGGTGTGAAGTATCAAGAAATCACTTAAACTTTAAAAAAACCCCACAACAAACCAGGATTAAATTCCCTTTTCATACAGCATATTTGGTTCCTTGCAGGTTTCTCACATTCTCAGTTGAATGGCTCCAACCTGAGCCTCATGTGGGAGCTCCGTGTGTTCACCCTTTGACATCAACCCTCCTTTAAATTGCCTCAAAGCATCGCTACCAACTCATTACTCACTTGTTTAAAAACTTGGCCTCCCTCTCCTACACTTTCATTAGGACATTTCCTCCTCCCTAAGAAACACCCTGTGCTTTCTGCCTGCTGCCAGCAAAAGAGGTAAAGCAAAATGGTTACGAGGGAGCCACTCTAGATTAAACACATCCAGGAGGAGTCTGTCGAAAACCAAGGAAGGATTGAGCAAAGCTGGTGTTTAAAGCAGCCTCCACACCCCAAGGGAGGCTGAAGGCTGCTGGGGCTTGGGCTCTGCCTGGGGGTCAGACCTCCACAATTAGCCAGGAAGGTGGTGCAGGTAGATGGACTTTAGTTGCTCAGCCTCGTCTGGTCTTTAAGGTTGGAAAAGGTGCTTTGTCAGAATTGTGGTTGCTCTCCATAGCAGCTTGACTTCAGGATGGAGGGCAGTAAACCTTTCTCCTGGGTGTAATGTGGTTTCAAGAATTAATGAGACTGAAAATATGCTTCTCTTTTTTTTTTCTTTTTTTTTTTGTTTGTTTGTTTGTTTGTTTGTTTGTTTTTTGTTATTTTGCCTCACCCATAGAAATTTGTGAGGAAGTCAGTTAGGGATTTACAACAGACACTTCTGCCAATCCCTTGAGAAGGTACCTGGGGCTTCTGTCTGCAAGTTGCCATTCCCATAGCAAGGGACCAAGTGGGGCTTGGGGCTCTCACTGCAGCCCCTGTGAGGGCAGGGGATCTGCTGGAACTGGGTGGGGGTCTGGGAAGGGGGAGTGCTGGACAGTGTATCCAGACTTTAAAGTGCAAAACTCCAGCCCACAGCTGAAATTCCAGTTGTTGGAGATGCAGTTGCACATTTGTGCACAAACTCTTTAAGCAACAGGGGAAATTCTGATAGGAACACAGAAATATTTAGTAGTCTTTGTTTATCATCCTTTTCCAGCAGAGAGGGAGCAGTGTAGTTTCCCAGATAAAAAACGAGCCCTTGCTTTTTGTTAACGTTGCTGTCACTCAGCAAATGCTCCACCAGAGCTGGCTGACCTGCTGCACGAGGGTACAAAAAATGGCTTTTTCTTCCAACCTGGCAATGCATGTGCTGTGGGAGAGGGAATGCTGCCAGGTCTCAGGCAGGGAAGCCTGGCTGCAGCAGAGAGGCTGCAACACATGGACATAAAGGACATGGTGTTAATGGTGTTATGGCTTTGTCAGGGACCTGGATGTTCTATGTGTGCTGGAGCAGTGTTCCGCAACTGTGTGTTGTTTGAGTGCCTTTTTTCCTTAATTAAGGGTATTTTGTTATTTATGGTACTTTATCAATCCCTTGGCCATTGCTTCCCAGAAGGTTAAGAGTACAAGCAAGCTTTACATCTGAAACCTAGGTTTAAATTCAGAAATACATGACCAGATCTAGGCTGTGTCAGCTGTCTGCACTAAAAAAATTTCTGACTCAGACAATGATTAGTATCAAAAGGTTTATAAAGGTTCCTTGCTTTGATTCTTTAGCTATTGTGATTTCCCAGCCAGTTACAGGCATTTGCAGCGCTCAGGGACTGCACAGCACTGCCACCCACCCTGCAAAGTTTTTTTTTCCAGAATTTTGAAGCATGTAAGACATAGTTCCCTCTGTGTGGGCAACACCAATAACTTCAAAACCTGCTTTCCAGCTTGCCTAGGAGCCTGACCTTGACTTCTTCACCAAAATTCTATATGTTACGAAAGAGTGGTGTTTAAGATGTGCAGCCTACTGATTTTTTTGGTAGTTGGGAAAGGCGGGGAGACACGAGATGGGCTGGATCCGAAGGGAAGGACGTGTGGTGGGTACTCTCCTGAACTCTGCCCATGGGGCATCACTAACCCTGTGCTCTCTGCTCCCCACAGGCCCTCCAGGGAGGCGAGGGAAGCCCGGCCGGCGTGGAGAACCCGGTGAGTGTCACCTTGTCCCAGCAGCGTCACTGAGGGCCCTGTGGGTGTCATTGGGTGGTACTGGAGCCTTTTAATAATGACACTGGTCACCCTCATCTAATGGGCTGTGGAACTGGGGCTTCCCACGTCCCTATGTGCTGGATATGAAGGTTTCTATAAAAACTAAAATAATAAACAAAAAACCACTAAGAAATAAATAAAGGAAAACAAGCAAATAGTCAAAACAAACAAATCCAACTCAAAACACCCGCTGCTGTTGCATATTTTATCCATCCTTCCATTTCTCCCTTGCAGCATCCAGCCCTGTTATTGTCCCATCCAACATTGAAGAAGGACTGTGAATTAACACACAAACAGAGAACCCCCCAGCCATTTTTAGGTGGGAGGTGTGCTCTGGCTTGTTCTCTGCTTGTGGATGTGTCTATACATTGCCTGCTGGCCACATGATGGATGGTGTCAGCATTTTAGAGTCAGGGGTAACCAAACCTCAGCCACCTGAGCATCAGTGTGCCCTCACACCGGGTGAGGCTGCAGAGCAGCCTTGCTGGGAATTATTATTTCAGCTGACTGTTTAATATTGTGTCTCTGTCACTTCAGTGTGTCTGGTGGGGGTTTGTATTTTTTCCCCTGTCTTGTGAAATGGGAAAGCACCAACCCCCTTTCAGCTGGGGAGAAGTGCTGTTTACATTCTGCTGTAGGGTCTGAGTGCTGTTGGAGAGGGGAGAGATGCAGTTGGTGTTGCTCTTTCTAAGGAGTCAGTCAGACAGGGATGTGCCTTGAAAGCCACACAGTTTGCAACTGCCTCTCTATGAGAGAAAACAGCAGATTAAATTATCCACTTCTCTGCTCTTGGGTTCCTGAATATGGAGAGAAGGAATGAGGACCAGGTAGATTTTCGTTTAGCAGGGAAGCTGATTTTGTTCTCTGCTGCCTCTTGCTATAGAAAATACATGCCTGGGTTTTCAAAAGGGGCAGCTCTGATCACTAATATTTTAAACAATTTTTTTTAACTTTGGGGGAAAGGAAATTGAGGGGTTTTGTGCTGCACACCAGCAGCATGTGAACTGGTGGATTGACTTCCATGGAAGGCAGGCAGGCATTTCCCTTCTCTTCCACTGATGGAATTTCAGTGCATTAGGTGTTTTCTGAGATATTTTTGTTCCTGAAGCATCAGGGATTTACTCCTGGCCAAGGGATGGGCTCTGCACTCGTTGGGGGAGAGGGGTGTGGATCCCAGCCAGCTTCATTAAACCCCATTTTCCTTGGGCTGTAGGAATAACCACCAGACAGCTTTGATTCTTTTTTTTGGTTGGCTTTTAGCTGTCACTAATGGCTTTAAAAAGCACAGTGGAGTACAGCATTCAACCAAGGGCAGCTGGAGAGGTCAGCCAATGGATCTGATTTTGTATGCAGGCATTTGTGTAAACGCTGTCCAAGATGTGTCTCTAGTCCATACAAAATTCTGGGAGGCAGTGCTGAGCTTGCACGTGCCCTTCAGTCCCTTCTCCCTCTTTCATCCAAAAGCTTTTGAAAAGCAGCATTTGCCCTCATACTGTGACACGCCTGCAAATGCCACTTGAGCATCCTTCTGAAGCAGAAAGCTGCCAGGAAAAAACAGCAAGAAAAAAAGCATTATAGAAAAACCAAAACAAACAAACAAAAAACCCAAAACAAAACAAAAAATCGATTACTGATAACAAAAGAAAACTCAAACCACTAAATAACTTTTTCTGAACTTCTTTGCAATTGTGGAGGAAAATCAAGCAGGGTGCAGCAGCCACCTGCAGCAGCACAAAGATGCACACTCAGATGTGCTCGATGGGGCACAGCAGTGAAATCCCAGGAATGCAGCTCGGTCCCTGTGGATTGTCCCTCTGCTCTGCAGAGACACACGGAGAGCAGGCGTCCTGCCGTGTATTGCTCTTGGCTGAGCTGCCAGATGTTTGTTTTTCCAGATAGCTTGAATATATATTCCTATATTTGTTTGAGAACCTGACCACACATAAACCAGGTCCTTGTTCCTTCACTACAGCTGATAAATGTGAATAAAACTTTGTTTGTGCAGCACGCCGGTGTCCATCCCCAGGGACACTGCCTGGTTGGAGCTTCACAGACTCCAGACAAATGCTGTTGGAGAGCCAGAAGGCTCAGCCCAGCCAAGGGGAGCATTTTTTTCTGGCAACTGTTGAAAATGGTCACGTTGAAAAACTTTTTTCTGATTTATATTGAAACTTTCAACTTATATCTCTAAGAAACAAGCAAAGAAACTTTTAAGAGATACTTCTGTCCCTTTTAAATCACATCCCTCCTACCGATTTAAACCAAGACTTAAATTTGTTTTTTTGTCTTTTGCCTTGATGGATTCAGATTAAAAAAAAAATAAATATTAATCCAAGAGTTGTGTTTCTCTAAACTAAGAATCCATCATCCTGAAAACACGCTCTCCACCACAGAAAGACATCATACCATAAACCATTTCTGAGGATGAGGGTAATTAACTATTTAGATGTTTGGAAGTGGGACAAGTCTGGCTGGATGTGCTGCAGAAAGCACTTGTTAAACCATGGGGATGAACCACCATTGCCCCTGGGACCTGCTGAGGGCAGGCTGTGGGTTTCGCTGGGGCCCTGACTCTGGGCTTGGCTTAGTTTATTTTGTTGCAGAGAAGCATAAAGGCAACAAGTATTCCCCATGGGAAGCCCTGGAGGGCAAGGGGGGGCCTGTGCTAAACCCCAGCCTTCCCCTGGGCTTCCTATGTGGGTGCACAGTCGTCCCCACTGTCATCCCTTCCCTGACCTCAGACGCAAAGATCAAGTACCTGGGGGAGTGTTTCTGCTGCTGTCAACCCAGCTGAACAAACCAGGGAGTAATTGAGTCAAATGGCTCCATCTGACACATTTTATTTACTCTCTCCATCACCTGGCCCTGTGGGAGTCACTGATGCAGCAGTGGAACAGCAGACGTGTCCCGGAGCTGGTCACTGCAGTGACAGTCACCCAGGCACCACCAGTGTGAAAGAGGTTATTTTTAATAACCAATTTATTCCACTGTTGCTACTGTGAGGCCTGGAAACTCAAAGCAGCAGCTTCCCTGGGGAGGTGTCATACTTGAGCTCCCTGTGGCTGTTTGGTCTGGTCCAGCACGTCCGAGCTCCATCCCAACCCTGCCAGAACCAGCACACAAGTCCCAACATTCTTATTCCTGTACATGAGTGTTATCAGATTTCTTTTGCAGCTGGAAAGTTAAGCACAGCCTTGAAGACCCACGGGCACCCACCCATGGAAACAGTTGGTGTATAAAAAGAAAAACCCATTTTAATACAACTTCATGTGGGATTTTCAGCCTTCTCTGAGTGTGAGGTGGAAGGAAGGTTTTGCAGCACTCATGGCTGGTGCTGACAGCCAGCCTGCACGTCTCAGATACAGTTCTTTTTCCGTGCCAAAGGCAAAATCAGGTTTAATGTCATGTTTAGCTTATTCTTTCAACGTGATATGTCCCAGTGAGGACACAGTTCAACTGCTGGAGTGAGTGTTTGTGAAATAACATGGATTTTCTCCAGGGACCTGGGAGGTTTTTCTTCCCCTCTTGCTGCCACCTGGTGCTGTGTGAGTGGGATGGGTATGGATGTGCAGCCCTCCCTGGGCTCTACGTTTATTTTTTGTAAAGGTTGATCCATACCGGGGTGTTCCTGAAGGATGGATGAATCAGATCCAGGATTTGGGAATTTAGTTTAAATATTTGTTCAAAGTCTTTGCATAACTAGTTGGTGGGAGGTGATGCTCGTGTCTCTTGTAACATCACGCTGCTTTCTTCCCCTGGCTTGAAGATTGACCCAAAAACTGCTCTGAACCTCAGAATATCGCTCAGGATAAAACAGGAGAAAATAGACATGAAGTGCTCAGTCTGGAAACACTCTGGGTATGTCTCTGCTCTCCTCACATGAAGCAAGAGCTGGTTCTGGACATTAACACCCAAAGCTAATGGCTGTGGTGTTGGGTAGCCCCTGTTTGCATCAACTGTGAACAGCTACAGCTACAAAATTGCCCTTTACAGGTGGGCCTGAGAGGGCATTTTTTTTAATGAAGTCTAATTTCATTGGAAAATACTGACTTGGCACTATTGCTTGTTTCTGGCAGTAAAAGTTTTGTTTGCAAAGTTTTTCCATTTCAGTAACACTTGTTGGGGGAGTATGTCGAAACTGCTGAATTGGGATAAAAGTCTTCTGCCCACCACCCATGACTTTTGGTTTCCAAATTTACATTGCCCTGCAAATGTTGCTTTAATTTGAACTTCTAAGAAAGTTTTAATTCAGAGGGTTTTTTTGTTTGTTTGGGTGGGTTTTTTTTTCTTACAGCTATCCTGTTTGTACAAATATCCTGGAACAGGGAAGAATCTAAAGCTTTTTTAAGAAAAAACACAAAGCGATTTCTGTGCAGGGAAATGTTATCTCTGTCCAGGTCTACATGGATTGAAATCTAATATTTTACACATTAAGATTTACCCTTTTAAACCCATTGGCCATGTGACTGAGTGAACAAGTGCAAATATGTAGTTGTTCTTATTCAGTAAGCATGTGTCTGAGTGTATATGGGTAAATCATGCAAAAATTTGTATTTATTTGGTGTTTTTCACTCTTCCTTGTATTTCTCATACCCAAGGACTTCTTTTTCTGCTGAACTTCAGGAAAAATCTAACATTTAGATTTTTGCCTAGATAGGAGTTAGAGCTCAATACACAGTGACAAATCATTTTCCCAGACTCTTTGTGACTTCTTATGACTGTAGCAGTTGTTCTCCTTCCTTGCTGCCCACGACTCAGTTACTCCCCTTACAGCATCCTGAATTAACAACTCTATATGTATGTATATACATACTGTATGTGTGCATAAATACCCATAGCTACGTGTTTATATAGATATTTATGTGATTGTATACATATTGTTTTTAAATTAGCATTTTTTACATCTTCAGGTGGCCACACATGTTTGCCACCTTGGGGATGGGCTCTTTGCCCATTAGGGCTGCAGCAAAGTCCCCTCTGACTCTTCCTGAGCCGTTGGGAAGGTCTGGCTGGTTTTGTTTCCCCCGCCTGGCTCTCCCCTCTCGTGGCAGGAAAGCTTGCATGATGAATGATTTGCACATTTAACAGAAATGATATCCTATCCCAAAATTCCCAAGCTGCAAAAATACTTAGAAATAAATGACTGTGGCCTGTCATTTCCCATGTGTTTGTGTATTGCTGTGGATGATGCCACTGTGACCTGCTAGGGCTTTGGATATACAAAATAACATTAATGTTAGTCGATCAGGAAATCTGGGTCATTTATTTTTAATGAGTTTTGATTTCCACCTCCTGCTAGCACAGCTGTCCATGTTCTTAAGGAATCTCTTGGTGTTTCCAAATTTCTCCATCCCTTGCAGGCTTGGGCACTAGGTGTTCACTGCTGGTGAACAGCAGCATCATCTTTCTTCAGAGCAAATCAATCATAGACCAGAATCTGTGTGTTTTTGCAGATTATTTTGTCTTTCTTCTCCTCCTTCTGAAATCAGCCCCCGAGTTAATTTGTTATGGAATTTTAAATACACAAAGGCTGCTTCCAACTTCTATTTGTTATGAGAAGAATTTCTAAGTGGTTTCATTCTTCCTGATTCTCACTAGTCAAAATTATTAGCAGTAAATTCTGGCAAATTTCTCTGAGAAGATCATGCCTCTTATGCAATGTGCCCACACTGGTGAGATGGCTGGGTGGGGGGCAGCCCCTGGGTACATGATCAACGTCATTATTTATTGTTGACTTGCAAAATATTTGACTTTCTTCCATAGGAAACAAGTGTCTTGTGGCTGGGCTGCTGAAAAACATGTTCTGCAAGGCAGAAAGTGATGTTGTTCCTAGGAGGAGAAGAGATTAGTTCAATAGGTTTCACTTTATGCCTTAATGGAGATTTATCTAGCTCTGTTTCACAGCACAGTGAAAGATTAGTGTAACTCCACTGATGTGGCTGGAGAACATCCCAGGGTCCATATACAGACCTCCCCCCAGTCAGCAGTGATTCCTGGATTTGAGAGGGAATCACTTTAAAGGGCACTTTCCTGCACATGTTGGGGTTAAAAACAGTAGCCGAGAAAAGGCAAAAAGGCAACAAATTCCAAAGAGATTATAATTGGTACATGATTGAAATCCCATATTAAAATAATTTCCTGTCTGCTTCTTATTTGAGACTCAGTCTTTGACTTTTCCACAGAAGGGCTTTTGTGGGCAGCTCGGTGTGAGTGAGTTAATAAATCGGGTTTATGATTCTCAGTTAATAAACTGGCAGAGAGCCACTGACTTCTGTATTCAGAAGAAATTAAACCAAGGGGAGTGAGTTCAGAGCCTGTGTGAATTTTGGCACTAAAGAAAATGGTCTCCTGACACGGAGGGAGATGTGGAGGTTGTCTCCTGCCCTCCATGTGCACTCGGCTGTGGCTGTGTGTGGCACTGACTGTGTTCAGGTGACAGACACAGGTTGAGGGGATGGTTCTTGGGTCACTGCCAGTCTTTACTTGGTGCCAGTCCTCGTTCTCAAGCTTTTCTTGTTTTTTGGTCTTTGTTTTTTTTTTTTAAATTCAACTTAACAATGTTTCAGTTTTAAAACTAATTTTAAAAACCTTGAAAAGGCATTTGTTTGAAATATGCTTCCTGATTAACATTGTTGAACAACCTAGGATGAACAAAGCTGAGGGTTTTTTTCCCCCTTCTATTTTAATTTTCCTCACGTTTTTTCTTTTCTAAGTGTGATTAATTTCTGGGTTTGATCAGAGCATGAAGAAGTAGAACAGAGCTATGGGCTGCCTCGGGAACAGGAGTGCAATGTGGGTTCCTTTGGATTAGGGTTCAGTGTTCACCTCTGTGTAGCACCAGCCTGGGGAAGCAGAGGGAAAACTGTAGAAATTGGGGTGGCAGGTAGTGAAAAGCCCTGCACTGCTGGGGAACATGGGGGAGATGTTTGGTTTTTTTCTTCTACTGCCATGAATCACAGTGTCAGACTGTGGCACTGGCACCTGAAGGTGCCAGTCTCAAGGAGATGTGAGGGGCATTTCCCTGGATCAAAGGCACTGTGCATCAACCCCCTGGCTGCCTCTGGGCACAGCAGAGCCCTTGAGCAGCGGCCACATGGAAGTGACACAGGACTGTGGGGTTGTGTGACATGTTTTGGGGTCAGGGAGTGACAGGAACCAAGCAACAGCAGCATCTGGGATCTGTGGAAGCTGTAACAATGTCCTTGTCAGGTGCCCAATGCACTGCTCCTCTGGTTTTTGCAAGCCTGTCTCCCTCTCCCCTTGCACAACCTGAAGAAAAAATAAGGTCCATGGTGAAAATATGGTTTTAATTCATAAAAATTTGCACGTTTTTCCAGCCCCATCTGCCTGCTTTTTGCTGGCACTGCTCTGTGGTTGCAGGGGATGCCCCAGGCCCTCATGTCCTGTGCGTGGTCTTGTGGGGGGAGAGAGGATGGCTCTTCATATCCGTGAAGCCTGGATGCTTCTGTTTGTAATCCCCAGTCACACTGGAGAAAAGGTGGGAAAAGACTGGTTTTGCACCCCTGTCAGCACTGCTGTGCCAGCAGCACGGGTGAGATGGTCCTGCAACAGGAGGATGCAGAGGGTGTTAAGTGCATCTGGAAAGTCATCCCGTGGGAACTGAACTGGGAAGTCCTGAACAGATCTCATGTTGGTTACTGCTATGTGCTGTTTTATCAGATTATGCTTTTTCTTTGCAATTAAGTGACTTTTTTTTTTCTCTGTTTTTCTTTTGTTTTCCAGGACCTGCAGTAAGTATCGTGGATTTTACTGGTTGGATCAACAAAGTTAAGGCTTCCCCTTTCCCTGCCTTTCAGTGTCCTTGCAAAAGCACAGCATTTTTTGGTAGAGGTGTGTCTGGAAGCAAAATTGGTACCAGATGCTGCAGGAGTTTTTTTTATGATTGTAGACAAATAGAAGGGGGGGAGAGGAATTTTAAAATGTTGAACTTGCTGCCCTGAGGGACTTTCAGTAATTTTAAGCTCAGAAAATATTCAGTAAAAAAGAATTCTCCTTTTAAAGAGTTCTTTAGTCTGTCTCCATTTAACAGAAACAGTGCTGTACTAATATTTTAACATGTTGGTGGGTTCATTGGTTCTAAAGCTTTGTCTTGCTTTTCTTATCTTTTGTGTTTCCATCATTTAATACAGATTTGGTCACCTCACAAGGGGGGCTAGAGGGAAAGCCATAGCTTGCTTGCTTCTCTCTTTGAAGTCCTGGGGAGAATAATGAGCATTTCTACCAATGTAATGAGAAAATTTATGGGGAAATAGTTGTTTGAAGGGGTAATAGTAGAAAATGTGTCAACTCCTCCTTCCAAGTGTTCAGACGTGCTTTTGGCTGTACCACCACGTTCAAATCTGTTGTTCTCCTGCTGGTTTTGGAGTGAGAATTCATGTTTTGTTTGTGCCCTCCAAGCTGCTGAGGGATTGTTTAAAAAAAAAAAAAAGAGATTATGGGTATTAGGTGCTTCAAGTTTTTTATCTTTCTTCCCCTGAAAGGAGGAGGAGGGGAGGTGCAGGCTGTTTGCAGCCACATTTCCTTCTCTGTCATTGCAATAACAGAGATGTTGTTCTTTTCCTGTAGAGCCTCACTGGGCTAAAAAGGGACTATTTTAGGAAAAATTAAATTTGGTTACTATTCCTGGGCTAGATCATTTCCAGTTCTGTAAATGTGTTTAAAAGCCAAAAGGTGATTGGGGATGTACCTGAAGTGTTGGGGTTGTAACAGCACTTTGGTTCTCATGGAATCAGCAGCGCTACCTGTGGGTTTAGTTAAGGAATTTCAGCCCTTTGAATTTTTGCTTCTATTTCAAGTTCGTTTTTTAATGTAAAGACTAAAGAGGGAGTTGAGCAAAATGATTATTTGGGCGGCTTTTGAAGGAGCAAATTGGGAGGTTGTGGAGAGCATCCGCTGGGGCTGAGCACAGATGAGTGGAGTCAGGGAGGCCTTTTGGGTGCTGGAGCTGGTCCCCACAGGGCTTCTACCTGGCACTTACTTTTTTTTTTTTTTTCCAATATTCCATTCATGCAATTTGGCTTAATTATTTAAGAAAACAAGTAATTTCTCACTCAATGTCAGGTTACAAGTGAAGAGGATACTGGGATGTTGCCTATTTAAAACTCCATATATACACCTTTTAAGGGACGTTTTCCTCTTGGCTGAAGTGCTTTGGCTTATTTAAAATGGATGTATTTGGCTGTTTTGGTTCTGCTCCTGCTCAGGGGCTGTTATCAGCCCACCCGCAGCCGGCTGGGTTACACACACTGCCTCACGTGTGCTGTCTGGTCACGTTTATTGTATGTGATTTGACATAGGCAACATATGGTGCACTATTAATTTTTCTTTGTCTCTAGTTGGTTTCATTTCCTGGTTCCCACGGCACTATTGAATTGCAAACAGAGCACAGGGGAGATTTAACACAAACAAGACATTTTTTTATCTTTTTTTTTTTTCCCCTCTCTCCCTTTGCCCTTCTTTAAAAGTCAGCTCCTGGTTTAGTTCATTTTTGGTTTGGGTTTTTTTTGCCTTTTTTTTTTTCAATCCTGCTTTTTAGCATAAGCAGCATTTGCCAGAGACTTCTTTAAGCATAATATATAAGTCCTAGAACCCACAGAACCACAATGTTATTTTATTTCAGCAGTACTGTATTTATTAGTTTCCTTTGTTTCTTGATTTTGGCCATAAGGAATCAATTACTCCTTACATGTACAGCATCACACTGCTCAAACTTTATCCTCAATTCTGTTGTTCCCTAGTAGCAGTTGTTCTGGTATTTTATTTTTTCTTTTGGCTGTTATAATCTAGTTATGTGTATGAAATTACTAGAATTTGTGGTACAGGATTTGTGGCTGCTGGATGATTGATTGTCCTGTCTGTGAGTGAGGGGGTTTCTGCTCAGATATGCCATAAAAATCTCTGTTTCGGAGGGTATTAAAATCACATGCTGGGTAGGAAATTTCTACAATTGAAAGATAGACTTACCACAGACTGCAATTAAACATTTACAGTCCCAGATATTAGCAAACACATTACGTATTAGCGAGGGCTGGGCGTTACAAGTGTTTCCGATTTATCCGTGTGTGCTCCAGTGCCATACGTCTCCATAAAAATCTCACTGTACACTTTATCCCGAGATTGTAATTTGTTAAATAGGCGGTTGTCGAAGTCAACACTGTTTCTGGATGGATCAGGAGGGTGCTGCAGGAGGCATTAGAGGCCGCAGGGGCGCTCAGGGAAAGGGAGGGGGCTGTTCCATGCCACGAGAAATGCCCGACTCCCGCAGCACACTGACATAACCTGTGTTTGTGGTAGCAGATGACATTGCTGTACCAGCAACACGCTTTACTGCCTACTTGTGTACCAGCTAATACTTAACAGCTCCTTCCAGGGAGTCTGCCTTAGGTCTGGCTTGCAGCAGGCTCTACTGTGGCTCACGGAATGTTTAACGGCAGCTTGGGCTGTAAACGCCTTTGGGAACCCTCCGAGGGGAGCAGAGAAGGTGAAATATCCCGAGTGGGCTGCGTTTTCTTCTGCTGATCTCGCAGGTGTTACTGGCAACTTGAGCAGGGTCTTTCCCCGTGGCATCAGCTGTGCTTTCTGCTTCATTGCAAAGCGAAGCAAAGCTTAGATGTGAGCTGGGAGAGCTGCATCCTGTGAGGAAACTGATGGATCTAAGAGGGGGAAATTCTTCTCTGAATCAAGTGCTGGAACAGCAGGTTGGAGCTCAGTGACTGTTGTCCTGGCCTCTGGCTCAGCAGCTGCAGCCTCCCTGACCTCTCCCCAACCCCTGGGGTGTTTCCAAACCTCTTGGTATCCCCATCGCAAGGCAGGTTTACAGCCAGGATCCAGCGTGTGCTGTGCACATCCCTGGCTCCAGGGGCAGCAGGGAGAGAGCACAGACAGCAGGGATGGGTGCGAGTTGGCAAAGCCCTCGGTAAGTAGCCAAAGGGGGGAAGCACGAGATGAAAATCTGGGCAAAATAAGCTGTAGGTGTGACGATTCCAACAGGAAAATTGCCCCGAGAGGTTTCTCAGGAGTTCAGTGCCAGGGCTGGCTGGGGAGCTGATGGCCCCATGTCCTGCCTGCTGCTGTGTTGTCGTGCTGCTACAGATGCATTGACTGACTTGTCTCCCTTGTTCCCCCCCACAGGGGCAGTCAGGACGTGATGGTTACCCGGTAATTCCGCCATTCCTTTTATTTTTATTCGCTTCTAATCTGCTCTCTGTGGTCCTCTCAGTCTTTTCCCATGACTTGAATTTCTTCACCTTTTTTGAGTTCTTTTTTTTTTTTTAAATCCTCTTGCCTCCTTCTTTATCAGCAACAGCTTTTGAGGGATTTAGCCCTAAAAGGCAGAAGCCTGTGCAATAATGTTTATAGGGGTGAAATACTTGAGCCCTTTCATGGTGGTATTCATGCTCTGGCCTAAGAGTTCACCGGGCTGCAAAGTTAGTGAAGGCGTTGGGATTTGTCCTACTTGGAGCTGTAAGTGGCCAAATTTGAGGACACTGGTGAAAGAGCCTCAGGTGTTGAGATAGATCCTCATTTACCCACCTCCAAAAATTTTTCCCTGGGAGCAGAGATGTCCTACTGTGACACGCAGAAGGTGGGAGTCCTTATTCCAACTGGATCTCAAACCACAGGCTCTCATCTGGCTCCCCTCATCCCCACTAATGCACTTGATTGGCCGTGATGCTCCAGCTCCAAGGGGCTCAGTGCTTGGTGTAATGGGTTGGTAAAAACCACTGCCTAGGTTCTCCATGTTCACAGTGTGTTTCCATCTCTATTCCTGTTTTTTGAATGGGTGCAGCAAGTCCTGTGCTGCCTGATGCTCTGGAAGGGGCTTCTTGGCTATCATAGCCTTCTCCTTCCTGTGCTTGATGCCCCTTTTTCTTTTTTTTCTTTTGTTTCTTTTCCTGAAGGAGTGTGTTAGGAGAACTCCCTCCTTGTCTCTGCCACCTCGTGCCCTCATGCCCAATTCTCCTTGAATGCCCAAACATCTGTTGAGTTTTACATGTGTCGTGGAGCTCAAGGGAGAAGGATTGGAAGGGAATTCCAGAGCTGTTTGCAGTTTTCACTTCTCCTGGACCCCTGTGAGCCTCCCTGGGGAGGATAGCAGTGTTTCCCAGAAGGGGAGAGGTGGGAGATGGGGTTAATTCTGCAGAATAAACCTGTGCTGCCGTTGCATCCCTAACACAAAGGTACTGAGGACTTCACCAAATGATTTGGGTAAGTTTAGCGTGAGGGAGGAGCTGGAAACCTGTGAGTGAGCAGGGCTGTTGGTGTCCAGGGAAGGGGTTTGTCTCCCTCAGGCGGTCCCTGCCCGCAGCAGCCCCAACCTTGGAGATGCTGGAGTAAGGAGGTTGTACGGATGCACCAGTGGTCTGCTGGAAATGAAGATTTTGATTCATTGGAAATCAAGATGTGAGACTTGGCTCTAATGGACTGTTTAATGGCAGTTTTAGGGGCTACTCAATGTCAGTTTTAGGGTGGCTTTTTGCCCTTGTGGGATGTTGCGAATCACTGCAGGATTAGCAGTGCCCATGGCAGGTTTGTCCCTTCTCATCTGTCTCAGTCATATTCTGGCAAAGCCAGTGTGTGTGGTTTAGTTGTAGAGTTCTGAGAACCAGAAATGCTGGGAGAAAACTGTGACTGTTCCCTAGGGCAGAGCACCATCACTGTCCCCATGGGCAGCCTGGCATTTTGCCCATCCCAGCTCCTGCTGGGGGTTTTTGGTGCTGCTCCAGCTCTCTTGGATGGTGTTGGGGACTGGCAGTGACTCTGTTGCCATGTCTGCTCTGGGAAAATGCAATAACATCCCCAAAAGTTTTTTCCTCTTATCTCTTACCCCCAGGACCTGCAGTCCAGGTGGGCTGTGGGGCTGGTCTTATTCCGGACTTTGAAACCCAGCAAACATTGAATTAATATATCCACATGGCTGTGGCTGCACTAATTACCTTTATCTAATGAGGAGGTGAGGATAATTGCGTTTCCAAACCAAGATGTATACCTGAAGGAGGAAACTAAACATAAAGCAGGCTTAAGAGTATTATTCAGCACAAGCATATGAACAGGTTTTATTACATCCAGTTGTGTAGTCAAACTGATTTAATTATTTAGTTCCCTTCAGGGTGATCAAATAAACTCTGAGCTGCTTCAGGAGGAGGATGTGGTGCAAATGCAGAAGTTGTAGGTGGATATTAAATGGTGTTTGGTGTCAGGGATAGGTGTAGTGACACATTCATCCCTCGACTAGCAGTGCTTTGTTTGTAAGCTGCTGGTTTACAACTGAGCTGCAAACAAAGGAAGCTTTAAAGGGATGAAGTGATCCAGAGCTCTGGAAACGGGGCCAAAAGGGAAAACAGATTTTATAAGATGATTTCAGTATTTTTATACTCAACATCCTAAGAGGAGGGGTTTGTGCCCTACAATAAAACTTTACAGCAGAAACAGGTTTTTTTCTTTATGAAGTTCTGTAGGTTTATTATTATTTTTGAAACTCCAGAGAGGATTTAGTTTCTATTTTTAATCCTATGGCATATTCTACTAACATCGCTGTAGCAGCTATGGAGAATGCTGGGATGTGCTGATCTTCTGGTTGTGTTTGATTTGGTTTTGACATCCCACTGATCATGGATCACAACACTTGCCTGTGTAATTTGCACTAAGTGTCAGTGATCATAAGCTCCTGGGTTTTGGGGTGCAAATCTGCTTAGTCTGAGAGCCTGCCTTGCTTCCTGCTCCTGAACTTGCAAGAATGGAAACGAATGCACCAGAGGACAGCGAGACTTTTACTCTTCTTTTACGCCAAAAAACTGATCTTGGAAGTTCCTTTTAGAGAAAATTACCTTGAATGACTTCTGCGGGGAAGAAGAGCACTTTACCCCAAAGATGGAGGGGAACTGGCAGGTTGCTTTTCTCGTCTGACATCTGAGTGGTCCTTCTTGCAGCACACCATGGTGTTCCTCTGGTTCTTTGTGCTGGTGGCTGGAGTGACACGTAGGTTTGCAATGGATGATGTCCTGGGGTGAACCAGCAGCATTGCTGACTGAAAACTACAGCATAAATGGTTCTTTTATACAGAAATCCCAGAATAATTGATGGTTGCAGAATGGTTATGGGGCTCCATTGATTCATGAGACAGGCATGGTCTCTGAGGAAAACACAGTGTTAAAAATGCAGGAGAATGAGCAGCTCAGGAGAGAGAATGACAGTTTTCAGACAAGGTCCTGGGCAAACAGATCTACCTTTGGTTAGCCCTGCCTGGTGGTGTTGCTGTGTCTGCCAGCCCCTGCTCAGGAACATGCCTGTGGTTGTGGTGGTAGAGCCCTGGTCGTCCTGTCTGTGGGCTCTACAGGGGTCCAGGTGTGTGCTCAGGTCTCCCTGCTGCCGTGGAAGGATTTGCTGCAGGAGGGCCACCACCCACTGCTGGTTTAGCTGTGTTTTTTTGGTGCTTCCCACGGCCACCTTTTCTGGTGAGATGACAGCAGCCTTTAGAACGAGGGAAATCTGGAGGACACCTTTAGCCTTTGCCAAAAGACCACCTGGCCCATCCCCAAAATGAAGCACAGCCCCAGGTTTGCACGAGAGCACGCTGGAAGCAGAGGAAAAGCAGATGTTGGTGGAAATGTGTTTCTTATTGGGCAGAACCAGGCGCTGGGGCCGGGATCCCCTGGGACGTTGTCCCTCATGCTTTCAGAGGAGCACCCGTGCTGCGGAGTGGTTCCCCTCCCCTGGATGTGCCGTCAGTGCCTCAGCGTGTCGGGGTCACTTGTCCTCGTAAAGCCGGGAGGGGAGCGGGAGGATTGGCTGTGCAGGGGCTGCTGACGTGAGCAGGGCAGGCAGCTGTGTCTGAGTAGGAGGAAAAGGGGAAAATGAGGAGCAGATGGAAGAGCCGGGACGCGAGCTGAGCTCTGAGCTGACCTTTCAGAGCAGGGGGAACTTCGCCTTACGTAGCTGTTCAATGGCATCAGACAATGTGAGGAGGGAGAAGCGCTGCCCTGGCTGCAAGAAAGACATTGAGGGGCTGGAGGGTGTTCAGGGAAGGGCAACAGAGCTGGGGAAGGGCCTGGAGCATAAGACTGATGAGGAGCAGGTGAGGGAGCAGGGGGGGCTCAGCCTGGAGAAAAGGAGGCTTAGGAGGGACCTCCTTGCTCTCCACAACTCCCTGACTGGAGGGGGGAGCCAGGTGGGAACTGGTCTTTTCTCCCAGGGAACAAGTGACAGGACAAGAGGAGACAGCCTCAAGTTGTACCAGGGGAGGTTTTGATTGGTTATTAGGAAAAAATTCTTCACCAAAAACGTTGCGAAGTGTTGGACCAGACCGACCAGGGCAGTGGTGGAGTCACCATGCCTGGAGGGATTTAAAAGATATGTGGATTTGGTGCTTGTGGACATGATTTAGTGGTGACCTTGGCAGTGCTGGGTGATTGAACACAACGATCTTAGAGGTCTTTTCCAACCTGAATGTTTCTGTGATTCTAAGCAATGTTTGTGCACTGTTTTTAGCAGCCTTGCTCTCATCTCCTTCCCTGCCCCACACAGAGATGGTTCTATACTTGCCTTCAAACTACTCAACTCTTCTCCGACATGATATTTCTCCTCTTTCCCAGTGACATACTGCATTTGTGGTTCACTAGAACCCATTCCTTTCCCTCTTCCCATCTACTGGAGAGGCCTTTTGAAGCCAAGGTCTCTGTTTCTTGAGAGTTTCATCTGCCTCTGCTACTCATCCCACCCTAAAATCAGTCTCAGCCTACACTGCTACGTGACATCCCAAATGGAGGGTTGTCACTTGAAGTAGGAAGAAACCAAAAGAATGAAGTTGATTAATGAGGGGAATTACTTCATGTGCATGTCTTTATTAATAAAAAGCAGAGCAGGGAAGTGGCTTTGTAGGAAAAAAGCGCGATATGAAACAAGAGTTGTCTCTTATTTCATGCATTTTCCTTAGAATAGTAGGATTTATTTTTAGTTGAGCAGTGTGTTATTATATTCCTCCAGTGTATAATGTTTGCCTTCTGAATTTTCTTAATCCTGGAAAAACCCAGGCATCGTCCTGCCCATCTCTTGCAGCACTGGGAACCTTTGGGAAGGCAGGGACAAAAGGCTTCACATTCTGCCTGTTCAGAAGTAATGCAGCTCGTTACTCAAAATAATGGAATATTGAGTATCCAGCT